GCTTGGTATCTTCTTAACTATTTCTTCATCTCGCGGTATATCTTCATTTTTCCAATATTGTGCGAAAATAATCCTCGCTGCTGTTAAGACATGTAATATTAAATACATACTTTTCTTATCAAGATTTTCTGATATTATACCTAATAAAAACAGTTCAGGTTTAAAATGTATATATTTCCCTATTATCTTTTCTAACCACCTTTGTATCTTTGCCCCTTTTTTTTTTTTTGCTTTGTTACAAATCCACCACAAATGATAAAATGTGCTTTTAAATACTTTATAAAATAGTTAAGAAGATACTAAATTGTACAGAAATGGATAGATTGACATTGAAAATTAAACAGAAAGAGGATGTAGAATACTATCAAACATGGAATTTATTTTACCAATGGCTGGAAAAAAGAGGTGGAAATTAAGAATGTAATCTATATTGTTATGTAAATTAAGTACCCAGACAACACGATGTTTATTAAGCACTAAGAAATGTATTTAATAGAAAATCAATAAAATAATAATAATAATACCGTGTTTCCCCGAAAATGAGCCCGTTTTATATTTTTTTGAACCCCAAAATAAGCACTTGGCCTTATTTTCGGGGAGGTCTTATTATTTTGGGGCGCGTGGAGCAAGACGGGGATCCTTTTGCCATTTTACCTGATTTCCATCTCTGTCTCCCTAACCCTAACCAGAGGAAATGGTGGGGACCAGCTGCACATGCATTTAAATATTTTCAGGGGACGGCTTATTTTCAGGGAAACCCAGTAACAACAACAACAACAACAGCAACAACTTGGCTGCTTGGCAACTGGCATGTATTTATGACAGTTGCACTCTCCCAGGGTCATGTCCTGACCATTTGTGACCAACCTCTGACAAGCAAAGTCAATGGAGAAAGCCAGATTTGCCTAACGACTTCATGATTCAATTAACAATTAACTGCAGTGGCAAAAAAAGATCATAAAATGGGGCAAAATGCACTTAACAACTGTCTTGCTTAGGAACAGAAATTTTTGGCTCCATTGTGGTCATAAGCTGATGACTACTTCTAATAACATGGGTTGTAGATGATGCAAACTGAACCTTAATGATGAACAGTAGTCTCAATTTTCAAAGTTACAGAGCATTCAAAAGGACTTACCTACAACTCATCCTCAGAGTTATAATTGCTGCATTATCTCTAAGGCCATGGGACTGCATTTCAGGCACTTGGCAACTGAGTCACATTGTTGCCCAGTTGCAGTGCTCGCAGTCACATGATAATGTTTTGCAATTGTTTTTTGCTTCTGTCTGGCAAAAAACCACCCATTGGATAATCTGGATTCTGATTTACAACCATGCAATTCATTTAACAATCTCAGTGGCTTCCTTAACAACTGTTGTAAACAAGTTGTACCAAACTGGTAACTCTATTTACGACTGCAACAACTCATGATCAAAATTCATGGCTCAATTGTAACCTAAATTGAGGCATGCATTTGAGTGTGTATTGACAACAACACTGAAATGTCAATATCTGCAAAAGCCCATGCATCTTGCAGGCATCTGCAAAAAGAAAACCTTAATTCATGTAGCTGTACATACATTGATTCAAGACAGGTTTTCTCCTTCTGTGCATCAGCACTGAACACGCTGATGTCTCCAGGAGACAGCAATGTCTTTTCAGTGAATGGACAAGAGTACAGTGCTCCAGGGAATTGCAAAAAATTTGGAAGTGCAGTTTGTCAAGGAGAAATTGCAGAGCTCTAGTCTGTGTTGGATCTAGAGGTATTAGGAGTTCTGGATTGAAAACACTCCATCGACTTTGGAAATGTATTGTGACACCTTGGCAGTTTGAAAATGTAATCATTTAAGTTTTTTATATTCTTTCTATGCCACCCTTCTTCCCTTCTTTGTCTCTTTCTGCCCTTTCTGTTTTTTCCATTGTTAATCCCAATGTAATTTCTAAAAACCTCCTTTTTATTATTACTATTTACATATTCAATTATTTTTCTAAAATTAATCTCATTGTCTATGTCTTCTTCTTTATATTCAATCTCTGTGTCTTGCTTCTCCGTTTTTGTTTCCTTGTTAGCTTCAGCATTTTCTATCTTGATTTTTGGATCCTCAAGTTTCGATTCTCCATGTAATATTGTAATTATTTCCGCTTTCCACGAGTATATCATTTCCATCATTTCTCTAATTTTCTGCGCCATTTTATTCTTTCTGGGTTAATATTGTTCCAGTTTTAAAAGTCCCGTTGTTTTCCTCTTTTTTTTCCAAAGTCAAGCTGCTTGCAGACAAAGCAATCCTCCCCAAAAGTTCTCAGGACTATTATCACTGGTGTAGTTCAAAATTTTCCAAAACAAAGATTCCAAATTGCAATTCTCTTTTTTCTCCTGAAGATGTCTCTCTACAATTCTCTTAATTGTTTAACAGAGTGTCCATTTTGTATCAATCCTCATTAACAATCTAACTTATTTTTTCTTCTTTGAAAATTACAAATCAATTTTATAGTCCAGTCCAAATTAAACAATACTTTTCCCCTCTTTTTTTTTTCTCCTTTATTTTATCTTTAGGTATACAGCACTTCTGTTGCAGGGCTTAATATTCAATTTTTCTTAGCCTTCAAAAAGAAAGGATCTATTTATTTTCTTTCCAATCCTTTAGCCAATTTTGGGGTTCTAATTCTTAAAATTTTCCAAATAATTTTATTCAAAAATCAATTTTCTTTTCAGGTTTTTATCCCTTTAAATTCCACTTACATCTTCTTTTCTTCCCCTATGCCCATTAGCCGCTATTTTTACGCTGGGGGTTTCAGGTTTTTTTAAAAAAATATTTGTTGTTACTTTGCCTGTGGGTTGGCTGTCACTCATCCGGCTTCAAAAACTCCGTTACATTCACCGCTCTTGCTCATGGACTATGAATGCTAACATGCTTATGAAGAAGGCACAGAAGAGGCTGTACTTCCTGAGAATGCTCAGGAAGATAAATCTATCTCAGCATCTACTTCTGTCTACTATCGCAGCACCATTGAGAGTGTCCTGACATACAGCATTCTTGCATGGTGTGGGAGCAGCTCTGTAGCAGCTCTACAGAGAATCATTAAAACTGCCCAGAATATCATCGGACTCCAGCTACCATCCCTGGATGACATCTTCAAAACTCGCTGTTTGAGAAAATTGCATAACATTCTCAGAGACTCTTCCCATCCTGCTTACAATCTTTTTGGACTGTTGCCTTCTGGCAGAAGATACAGAACAATTAAAACTTGGACCACACATTTTCTGAATAGTTTTTATCCTGAAGCTATAATTGCACTCAACAATGAACTAAAGGGCCACCATCAGTGAGCTGTTGGACAGTATTACTTGATCTGTGGTGTGGATGTTTGGGTGGTTTAGGGGTGGAGAATTGTGGTGGGTGGGAGTGTGTTTGGGGATTGTTATGTGTGTTGGACCTGGTCTTTGGGTGTTAAGTGAATTTCATTGTATGGGTATACTGTGTATATACTTACAATGACAATAAAGTTATTTATTTATTTACTTAGTCCGGTTGCCCCAGCTTCTTGACAGCCGCAATGGCTGGTGCCTCCACCGCCAAATCGGAGAGAGATTCCTCTGACCTTCGAGGAACTTGCCTGTTCTTCTTGGTCTTCCGAGGTGCCTCTCCTTCTTCCCCATCCCTACAGGATGGTTCTGGTCCGAAGACCCCTCGGCAGCGGTTCGTCAGTCCGGGTTTTCGCGGAGCTCATCAGAGCCTACTAATTCCCTGACTGTCTCGCCGTGACGCTTCTGGTCAAATCGGCAGTTTGAAAATGTGTGGACCTCAGCTTCCAGAATTTCCATCCTAGCTGGGGAATTTTTGGGAGTTGAAGTCCACACATCTACAAACTACTAAAGTTAAGAAACACTGCAGTAGACTGAAGCATATATAAATCTTGCCTGTTCCTCAGTTCCACACTCAACAAGAGGTGTGTGTCACATCATAATTCCAGTATTTTCCAAATGTAACCCAAGAACAGGTGATTCCCTGACCACTTTCACTTCCAGAAGGATTACTGTGATTCTTCCATATTCTGGCTTTTGAGTCATTATTATATTCTAGTAGCTTTTCCTATATCATAAAACAGTAGATGAAAACTAGATTGCCCCTGGTTTCACACAGATTATCAATGATCCAGTGCATAGGAACAGGAACTTTAAAATGTGGCATCATGTTCTCTCAAAACATAAAATTCTTGCTTGGTTACTAAGGACTTGTGCATACATTGGCATGACTGCTCCATTTTCTGGGTGAGTAAATTCTGTTAAGTCTCAGAAACTGTCACTTGCCATTTGAAGATTGCAATGAGTCCATTAGTAAATGGACTCAAGGCTATATTTAAGGCAACTTTCACCAACCTAATTCCCACTGGATTACAACTCACAGAATTTCCAATCACCATGTCCTGTAGCTGGAGTAATTTGGATTCTAGGATTATAAACATCACATAGTTGAAGAGAAACAATTTTGGGAAAGCTGCAGCAGGAGAAATGAAAAGCTGATGAGGGAAATGCAGCCTCCCCCGCCTCGAAGTTACCCATGTGAGCCTCAGAATTGCTAACTTTTATGAGTTTGGCATTTATTTCAGCTGTTTGACTTCACACAAGGTTTTATTTCCCTGCAATCTAAATTGTTTCAAACAACTGCTGTGAAACTAAAGGTCAAGATTTAATGTCCTAGCAAATAAAATGTTGATGATTGTAAGTAATTATCAGGTAATTCTAGTGCCTGCCCAAAATTTCAGAGAATGTTTTAAGCTTCAGTGAACGAAGACCTTAATGAACCTGACAAAATTCAGAGCAGTAGAAGTGGCATTTATGGATTATTGCTGTTTTGAATTCTAACCCTGAAAAGGCAGTGCATCTGACCTGGTGAAGATAACACTGTAGTATCAACACTGAATGTGGCTCCCATGTAAACCTGGTGTGTTGAAAATTAGTTGCCCCACAGAGTCTAATCTTATCAGAAGATTTAAAATATTGTATTTGTATTTTTAATATGAACTCTAGTGCAGAATCTTTTATAGATCTTTTTACATGTATATATGAAGAGGTCCCACAGGTTTAATATGACAGGTTTTCTTTAAAATTTGTAGTGCCCACCTTAAGAAGAAGGAATATTCTTATTGTCTTTTAACCCTATTAATTCTCGAGTCACAATGAAATTCTTCTACGATGTCATAAAATATGATTTTCACTCCATCTTCTCTAATATAAAATATTGCATAAAGTTCTCCAGATTCCATATTCAGAAACAAAAATTAATCTGGGCCATCCACTTTCATGTAGTTTCTAATATCATGGGTTCACATAATGGGTTTCCTTATAAATAAGAAATTCCTCATGTACTTAACGTGTGAGCCAGTGTGATGTAGTAATCAAAGCACTGGATTACAACCAAGTGATCCAGGATCAGGTCCACCCTCAGCTATGGAAACCTGTTGGCGATTTTTAACCAGCTTATTTCTCTCAGTCCCAAGTACTTCAGAAGTTTGTTTTAAGGGTAAAATGAGAAATCCCCATAAAAATCCCCTTCCTGTTCCTGAATAAAAGGCAGGATATAAATGTGCAGGTCCTGTCAGCATCTTCTTAAACAAACTGTATCTTTCCTTACAAACTGCTGTAAGGCTACCCTCCATTATTCCAGCTTGATCTTAGGCAAAGGCTTGTTTGATTGAAGAGGTTGCTGGCAGGTGCTCTGTGCATGGTCAGATGTCTCCCAAAGCATTTTTTTTAAATCTGCCAAGGACAATAAAAGCAACAAATAGATTGGTCAATGCTAGCAAAACACTGCTCATCATAGAAGAAAATGGAGAGTTTTTGACAATCCAGGGGATTAGAGAGTTACTGGTTCTCTAACAATAGTGTTTACACTCATTAACTAGATTTTGTGTCTGAATATGTATATATATATATATTAAAAAGGTTAAGAATCCCAGCTTAGACATGGCTTCACTGATGGTTGTGATCTCCCTTTGACGACTCCTCAGATTCTTCTTCGGAGGTCAGCTCAAGGGAGGGTGAGCTCATTCCTGGCATGTCAGGAACTGGGTTAATTAATGACTCTGAACAGCTGGCCAAAAGATTTACAGGGGGCTTTGGCTGGGATCAGCTTTTAGGGGCAGACAGTCAGTGAAGAGGAGGAGAAGTTGACTTCCATGGTGGATCCGAAAGCACACAGGGCAGAGAAAAGACTAGAGCAATGGAGATCTGCCAGATTACTCAGGAGAAGGCCCCAGCCATCTTGATGGGCTGCACCGGAAAGCTATTTATCACGGCAGGTGGAGGGAGGTGTTGCTGGGAACAACATGTTTGGTTTCTGGCTGTGTGTGGGTTTGTTTGTTCCTAATTTAAGTTAAATAACACTGTATGCATCACTGTATGTTGTGCTTTGAGTGATATTACTTAAATTAAAGGAAGGTAACCCCAAAATAAGAGATCTGTCTAACTTGACATAAGCTGTGAAAAATTCTCAAAATAGGTATAGAAGTATGTGCATTCAAAAGAACTTTCTTTGGTGATCATTCACCTGCAAAGATTACCTTTCAAATTTCTTTTGAGGTCTTGTACATTGTTTACTAAAAAGATTCTCATTGGGGGTATGTTTATGATAGCCAAAGGCATTCTTATATCAACATTACAGCTCATGTTATTTTGGCCCCCAGTGTCGTGCCCTAATTATAAGACTACCACATCTGTGTTTCAGAAATTCAATTGGCTGCTGGCATGACAGTGAGAGACAAGATACTTTGCGGTCATTTAGATTTGATAGACATAAATGATATATTCATTGTTATTCTTTCCTAAATGAACACAATGGATTCCTTTGGAATGGCTTTCAGGAAAACATCAGCTTATATAAGTGTGCCATCCACTATGAAGATGGTATCTATAATTATGTCTAATGAGGTTCTAGCAAATGAGCTGAATAAGCATGTAAATGTAAAACTTTCCTCAGTTTTTTTTACTTTAGTTCTCAATTTTACTTAGTGTCCATTCAAAGTTACAAAAGCACTGGAAAAGGTGACTTGCCATTTATACACATCTCCATGGTCACATAATTATAATCAAAACAGTTGGCAACTGGCATGTATTTATGATGGTTACAGTGTCGTGGGGTCATGTGATCACCTTTTGCAACTTTCTGACAAATGAAATCAATGGGAAAGACAGATTCACCTAACAACCTTATTACCAGGGGTGAAATGCTCCCAGATCGGACCAGATCGGACCTGGTCCATGCACCAGCTGCGCAAGCGCACACCGTTTATTTCATTCATTCATCAGAGGCAGGGTGGGTGTGCGCTTGCACAGCCAGCGCATGGACCAGGGCAGCTATTGTGGCGGCACATTCAAGAAGGAGAGCAGCTCTGGTAACTTTCGGGCGCTTGCCTTCCCTGGCAGCAGCTGCAGGAGAAAGGTAAGGAATAGGACACGCTGTGTGGCGAAGGGTGAGCGGGCGGCGGCTCCGTGGCAAGGCTGGAGTCGGGGAATGGTGCATTCCCCGACCTGGTTGAGGCAGGCATTTAGCTGGCGGCAGCTCTGGGGCTTTGGGTGAATGGCGCGTCTCTGGGCCCCAGCCCCCGACCCAAAGCGAAGGGAGAGCGGGTGGTGAGCGGGCGGCAGAATAGAAATTTAAAATGTTTTCCTACCAGGTTCTGTGGATGTGGCTTAGTGGGGGAGGGTCTTGTGACTGAGTGGACGTGGCTGTGAGTGACATTGAGTTGGCCATGCCCACTTAGTCACAGGACACCCCCCCCCACCAAGCCACGCTCACAGAACCAGTAGGGAAAAATTTTAGATTTCACCCCTGCATATTACCAACTTAATAACTGCAGCGGTTCACTTAACTGTGGCAAGAAAGATAGTAAAATGAGGCAAAACTCACTAAATAACTGTCTAGCAATGGAAATGTTGGGCTTAATTGTGGTTGTAAGTAAAGAACTACCAGTGTTGTGTTGACTTTTCAGATTTTTAAAACTTTGTGCAACCTGCAACTGGTAAAATTGGTAACTTGAAGAAAATGGTTGATGTTCATGTAGGCTCGTCCCAAGAGATTAAAAACAAAGAGAGTAAAACACTTTAAGCAAATTCCCATGCCAGAAGGGAGTCAGAAAATAACAAATTCAATGCTGCTGCAAGCCCATTTTTCCCTGATTTATCAATACAATCAACTACAGGTAATCCTCATTTGGTGACTGCTCACAGTTACATACTAATGGAAAAGTAACTTGCAACCAGACCTATTTTATTGCCTGCTGTCCAGAGTCATTTTCTGTGAGATGGGTGGCCATCTAAATTTGATTATATTAATAAACAAAATCTTCACATTTACAACTTTGCAGGTCTGTAAAACAAGAAAAAGGATGAAGCAAGATCATAAGCACAATTGTGGTTTCACTTAGCAACCACTTTGTTTAATGACCAAGTTGCCAGTCCCCTATTGTGATTGCTAAAATGAGGACTAACTGTAGGCTACTACAGTTGAAGTAGTAGTAGCCTGAAGATAGGCTACTAGAGACTCCATTTGTTTCTCTTTAAGCCAATTACTCCACTGTCAGCCTTATTCTGTTGATGTTATGAACTTATTAATTTGTATATTAATTAGCTTCCCAATATGGTGGGAGAAAAAGGATTATTTTTAGCAATTAATATAATCAATGGAATATTTTGGAGTTTCCCCTACCTATGTGTTCATTATCTTAATTGTGAGATCTTGTAACAGCTCACCCCAAAATACTGTGTCTAATTTGAACAACTGCCACACTCCGTCCTTGGCAGCAAAGAGTACATTCAAATGCTCAACCAACATTAAGAAAACATTTCTTATCCCATTTGAAAATGACCCAATTCTTATACTTCAAAGGCCAAAGAGGAAAGTCAAAGATTCCATCTAAAACAGGAAGATTTACACAAGCAATGAAATTGATTCAAGACACAGCAAAGCTTCTTCCTGCTTCAGAGAATTTAAGCATAGATATTAATCCTGTCCATGATAGTAAACAACTAAAGACATCAGAGAAAAGCTCACCAACCAATGACTTTGGGTTTTCTTTACAACAGTTATAAGCAAACTTATTGTCCCTCTTCCCCCTTTAATATTATATTACACAATTCTCACCTTCTTCACAATCCATTCTTTTATTGTGGGTATTTCAGTATTAAGTACAATTATGATTTACTCATATATATATATATATCAATCACAGGGGGCATATCACTAGCATGCCCCCCCTGCACAGAAGATGCTTACCCCTCCCCTACTGAAGTCTTTAGAATACTGGCATCCTTCCCTGTGAGCATGTCAATAACATTGGAAATATGCTACAGTCAAGCATGAAGGATAACTTCATCATATGTGAGGCATGCTCAATAGCAAATTATAAACCTAGACAAATTGATATTCACGTCAGCCTTACAACCTGACCTTATTAAGGGTCCTTTGGGGAATATTAACCAGCTGATCTACACTAATGTTTCCATCTCAGCCTGGCCTCTCAGCTGACATATTATGATTTGGGTTTTTCTACTTCTTCTTTTCCTCAAACAGATCCTGGCAGGTTTCCAACCCAATGCTCCCCTATCAATGAAGAATATCTGTGAGACTCCCTTTCCTCACCAAATATCACATGGTTCAATAAACTCCATCTTCATCACATAGACAGTTATCCAATAGAATAGCTGAACAATTTAATAATCAATCTACAGACTGAATAAAAGCTAAAATGGGTTCTTTTGGAACAAAAATATTCCATATTTTTTAGACTTGATTTATAAATATGATTTCATTTTGTTGCAAGATACCTGGACTCTACTGCTTCTGTGGCAAGGTACAGTATATTCCCTTAATGGTATTTGTGGTCCTGAAAGGGCCGATATCAAGAAACTTAATATCTTAAAATGCAGGTAACCTGTAGTCTCCAGTTTCTCAGTTGGGACACATGTGAGCAAATGGCATTAGCCTCTCGGGCCAACTTAACAAAATATGCTTTCCTAATTATAAACATTTACTGACCTCCTTGCAGGTTGGTTTCCTCAACAAATGTCACCTGGGATAAATTTGAGAATTACTTGACACAGTTTGCCTGGGCTGACACAATTCCTGGCGTTCTATTTCTCAGTGACCTAAATGTCAGATTTGGTACCAATGACAAAATCTTTCCTCCCAAATTACCATAATTCCCATTCACACCCTCAGAATCACAGAGGCCAGCTATATTTTATTCTCCTTATGTACACTCAGAGCGTATACACCTAAGACAAATTCCTTGTGTGTCCAATCACACTTGGCCAATAAATAATTCTATCTATCTATCTATCTATCTATCTATCTATCTATCTATCTATCTATCTATCTGGGATCAGGGCATCAGCCTTACAGAATGACACCTACAAGGTATTACTAGAAAATTCAAGCTTTGCATACCAAATGGCAGAATAGACAATGACTTTACTGGGGAGTAAGCCTACTGGGGAGTAGGTCCAGTAAACTCAATTTTACATTTAATATACTAATTTCTAATTATTTTGTTTAATTTGGTATGTTCTTTACAGTTGAACTATGAACTATGCCTGAAGAACATTTTCTACTACTATTCCATTTGGGCTTTGGGCGTTATCCAACTTTTCAGAACATTAAAATTATGGGCCCAGCCACCCCAAGGACTGGATTGACTGACAAAATGGTGAGATCAGTTTAACATCTTGCCCAAGATCAGACCTTGGAGCTCTGTAGCTCC